AAAGGGGGGGGGGGGAGTCATTGATTATATGTTTGGGCGCGTAGATTAACCACCACCGGCAAAGCACCCACAAAAAAGGCGACCACGCATAAAGAAAGATCAAAACTTCCCATCACTTCCAAAAAGAAAACTCCTTGAGAAAAAAAAGATTAAATTTAAAAAGTAGACGAAATTTTCAGAGCTAAGCGAGAGATCGAAGCGACTCAGTTGTGCTGCGGAGGCGAAACCACGATCTGGGTTTTTGTAATCTTTCTCTTCTCCGTCTCACCTTTGTGGTTTTTTTCCGACACTCCCATTTGATTGGAGCTCGCACATTCGGAAGGGTTTCCTCCGACGGTGGTTGTGTCTCCGTCGGTGACGAGGTTAGGGTATAATGGAGCGGTACGGTCGCGCCGGAGAAGAAGGGTCGCGGTCGGATCCATCGCCGGAATGGTCCGCTCCAGGAGGTGAAACCGGCGTCGAAGGTGACGTAACGGTTCCGGCATTCTTCGTGCTCTGTCTGGTTAATGCTGATTTCTCGGTTTGATTAACGATTAGCCTTGTGAGATTAAGGTGTCCTTTTGTGGGTTTTTTCTTGTTTCCCTTCATTGCGTGTGTAGCTTCGATGTGGCGTCTAGGGTTGCGAAGCGGAGGAGAATCGTACCCGGAACGACCCGACGAGCCCGATTGTATCTATTACTTGCGAACTGGCGCCTGCGGGTACGGGTCGAGGTGTCGGTTCAATCACCCTCGAGACCGTGGAGCGGTGATCCCATTTGTAATCTCCCTTCGTTCTGCTCTTGAAATCACTTTCAGTTTCTGGGTTTTGATCTGTTCAATCAGTGACTGGCTCTGATGATTGATCAATCATCAGTCTCTTTCCCCCATTCCTGTATCCTCGTTTGATAGGTCTTTTACGCCTAATCGGACAGTAAATTCGAGGAAAGTTAAGATATTTGGTTCTAGGGCATTGTTTCCTTTTTCCGTTTTCTCCAAAATTCTAGGTCTTGATCTGTTTGATGCTTTCATTTGATCGTTTTGGTGTTTCTACTGCAACTTATGTGGTGATTTCAGGTCATGGGAGCTTCTAGAAGAGATGCAGGAGAGTCTATTGGACAACCTGTGTGTCAGGTACTAATCTTGATCATGTCAGTTGAGAGGCTTGACTGGTAATGACTTTGGATTCTGCAATGCACTTCGTTTTCGTTTCCACTGAAACAATAAACCCATCTGTGTTCTGTTCTGTCTATGAGATTGTATTCTGTTGCTGTTTTGTTTCCCCGCCTTCCTAAAAAATCCGCAAATGTATGCTTCTCTGCAGCACTTTATGAAGACTGGAACGTGCAAGTACGGTGCTTCTTGCAAGTATCATCATCCTAGACAGGGAAGCAGTTCGGGTAGTACCCCTGTGATGCTTAATTATATGGGATATCCATTACGCCTGGTTAGTAGTTTGATCACTCTTTTTGGGACTGGTTTATTGATCTTTCTTCTCCTTGATGTTGTGTGAATTCTTTAAATTTCTATTAACTGATAACAGGGGGAAAAAGAATGTTCCTACTACATGAGAACGGGTCAGTGTAAATTTGGCGCAACGTGTAGATTCCACCATCCCGTCCCGCCTGGTGTACAGTTGCCCTCCCCACCACCGCCACCCGTTATGCAGGTTTCCCCCATGGCTGCTCAGGCTATCTATCCAACAGTTCAGTCTCCATCTGTTCCTTCGTCCCAGCAATACGAGGTTGTTATGCCACGGCCTCCCTTTTTACCGGGTTCATATGTTCAAAGCCCTTACGGAACCATGGTTCTTCCTCCTGGTATGGTTCCATACTCAGGTTGGAACCCATATGCGGTATGTGTCATGCAAACCCTTTTTCGGTCTGTACTCTCTCAATCTTATCTGCATTCCCCTTTTTTTTTCTCGCGCTGAAGTCTTCTCCCTCCTATCCATTGTTGCCACTGCTGTAGGCTTCTGTAAGTGCCATACCCTCCACAGGCACTCAGCCATCTGTTGGATCGGGCTCCATTTACGGGCTTGCTCCGTTATCTCCTTCAGCTCCTGCATATACAGGACCATATCAGTCAGGGCCTTCCTCTGTGAGCCCTTCAAGTACCCAGAAGGAACAATTGTTTCCTCAGCGTCCCGGCCAACCTGAGTGCCAGTACTTTATGAGGACGGGAAACTGTAAATTCGGATCCTCGTGCAGATACCATCATCCTCTGGATGCGGTTCCTCCAATAACAAGTGTTATCCTCGGCCCTACCGGCCTTCCCCTCCGTCCTGTAAGTTTTTCTTTTTCACATTTTCTCACTATCCACCAATGTCTACCTATGACACATGTTTAGTTTGGCTTGAGAAACTTCAAAGAAGGCTCTGTTTCTGCTTGATCTGCATAAAATCAGCTTTGGCCATGAAAAGCAAAAAACTTTGGGTAAAATGACTTGCATTGATCAGTTTGGTACGAGAAGTTTCATACGATACTCTGTTTTCTCTCCCCCTCGGCTTAAAATCGGCATTACATGATGAAAAAGTCAGAGACTTTATGGTAGATTTTTCGTGATCATCTATAAAGTTTTGATTTTTTTTTCTCATCTGCACATGATAGATCTTCTTCTGCATCAACCTTTTGGTAGCTTGAAAACGAAAAACTATATCTTGCAGGGGACACCACTATGCACTCACTTTGCCCAGCACGGCACCTGCAGGTTCGGACCTGCCTGCAGGTTTGATCACTCCATGGGCTCGCTCAGTTACAGCCCTTCTGCTTCTTCACTGACCGACATGCCCGTGGCCCCCTACCCGGTGGGCTCCTCGCTCGGGACGTTAGCCCCATCGTCCTCCTCGTCAGACCTGCGGCCAGAGCTCATCTCTAGCTCCAGCAGAGAAATTGTGTCCCCAAAGACCACAACAAGTGGGTCCGAGACGGCTCCTGCCACTGTCTCATCCCCGACAAGTGGTCCGAGCCATCCAGAGCCTCCTGCTCAGACCGCTGGTGTCGACGGTAGCAGTAGCTTAGAAGCTCGGACTTCAAGCTAAGTGGCAAAAGTTCAAAGGCAAAAATCTCTGTTCCTCTGATATATATATATATATATATATCCCCATCCTTTTCCCCTTTTTTTTCCATCAAAACATCAGGAACATTTAAAAAATATTTTTTGAGCCGACACACGACGGAATCGGAGACCAAAAGCACCGGTCGATGTGTTCACTGCTTCGGACATATCTCCTTTTAGGTCTCCCTACCATGTCCATATAGTCAGTCTCCTTATACGGCCATCTCTCTCTCTCTCTCTATCTCTCTCTCTCTCTTCTCTTCTTCTTCATCATCTTCTCCTTTTTTTGGGTAAACGATTAAATAATAAATGGCCCTGTTTACAAATTCCTAGAAATCCCCAGTTATTATTCTTTCCAGAGATTAATTGAATCTGGGAACCATGTTAAGCCTCTCAGCAACAAGAAGAAGAAGAAGAAGATGATGACTGCAGTTTATCGGGTAAAGATGCTGGAGAGACATGCTGCTGAGAAAGACAGAAAGTAGATTCGATCATCGAACCATATGAGAATGTTACTCTTCTGTAATAATTTCATCTTCTCCCTGAAAGAAAAACAAAAAACAATATCATTTTGCGTTGCGGTTGGTTTCGAATGGTACATTCAGGACACTGATCTCGGGGATCTGTTAGATCATTATGGAAGAAGATATGTATTTGCATCGCAAAGATTCTATCTTAACGGGGAAGCCTTCAGTTCTGTTGGTGTGTCTTATCATCGTGGGAGATCATGGGTCCAACCCTTCAGAATATGAGGTCTGGTTTATCTGTTTTACGTGATTTGTAGATTATTGCGTGAGAGCGGTGGATTTACTCCGCACCTGTCGTGGTGGTTAAAAATTCTACATGAACTATGCATCTGTTTGTTAACTCTGTTGGCACTGTACGTAGTTTCCATACGGTCCTCTTAGATTTGACGGCTACCGTATGAAAAGAAAATACTTTGCGCAGTTGGTTGCGTATGAAATAACGCATTAACAGAGATGCCCATAATCCTTGAAAAACCGACGAGTTCCCTTCCTGCTCTCACCATTCAAGTGGATCGTGTCCGGACATCGTCCCCCATGATAAAGTACGTACGTGTCCGTACACTACATCCTAAGATCCTACTAAGTACTAATGTGTGCTCTTTCATTCATGTTTGCGACTGTTCATATCGAATGTACACACGCATACATTATTTATATGTGTATATATTATATATAGGTACGTAATTAATATGTGTGATTGTATCTTTATTGATTTGATAACAATGTATATTTGATACTCCCCCGTTTCTAAAAGAGTGTCGTTTTAGATTTTATCACATATATGTTCCTATGAAATCACACTCTCATTAATTTTTATTAAAGTTAATTTTTTTAATCAAGGGTAGAGTTGTAAATTTTCTTACAAAATCACCTAAAAATCTAAATTAAGAACAAAACATACTATATGTATAATGATATCTAATAATAAAAGGAGGGAGTAAAACGTTTGGAAAAGGGAGTGATGAATTTCAGTGAAGAAACCTTCGAATAAAACAAAATGGTTGGCGATCGATGTCGGAGCCTTCTCTTCTGTAGAGAAAAGTGAAGGCAAAGGAAGGGGACATGAAACAGTGATGCGCATCACACATGGCATTTAGACCAAAAACATCATCATGGCTTCTCCCCAATACTTAATCATTATACATATATATATATATATACATATATATATCCCAATAATAAGATTATCTAAGTCTCCAATATTTAAATGTCCATATAAATATTAGTGGGTGTCCCAATAATTGGTGACAAACTCGTTCTTAAAGTTTTGTGTTCGATTTTACTGGTGGGAATGGATGTAATTAATTTCTAGACCAAAATGGTTCATATATAAAAGGTCGTCTCTGACCTATGATGGATGTAGTTGGGACGAAGGGACGGGAACCAGGTTATATAAAAAATAAAAAATAAAAATATTAGTGGGTGTTTGTGCATGATAGAAAGTACGGTTGAGCGTTTCGGTTCGGTTCTTCGGAACCGAACCGTTAAGACGGTATTTTTTCCGATCCGAAACCGCTGTTATTTCCCGAACGGTACCATTTTGAGAGACTGAATTTTTCTGGAACCAGACCGAACCGAACCGAACTTTAAAAATCCCGAAAAACCGAATATTTTTAAAGGGAATCTATCATTTTTTTAATAAAACCCGGAACCGAACCGATACCGAAACCGAACCGAACCGAATATAATAAAAAATCCGATTGGTACCTATTTTTGTAAAACCTAAAGAACCGAACCGATTCATTCCGTCCCGAACCCGAACCGTTTCCCGAAACGCCCACCCTACTACAAAGAGTAGTAATGGACAAAAGTGCCTTTCTAATTTTCCGATACAACTCTTTCAACTAACCACAGAAGTAACACTTAAGAATCTACAAAATCTCATATTCCCTCAAGTACGAAAAATCAACCAAAAAAAAAGGACCTCATGATACATAAAATATTTAACAGCAACAATGACAGGCAGTACATATATGTATATGTATATGTATATATATAGAGAAAGAGTGCGTGTCAGAAGAGTGAGTAGAAGCCTGTGTCTGCAACTGCAAGTACATCTCCAAAAGAAGGAAACTGTAGTGAAGCAGCATTCACAGAAGAAGGAGAAGACGACCAAGAACAAAAATCTTGAGACATTACTGAGTAGTCATCAGCACCATTGATTTGGTTATGAACCTCCTCCATTGATGACATCAGAGCAGTATTGTAATTGCTGATCATGGCCGAGAGATCACAGGAACCAAACTGATCATTATTATTATCATCGTCCCATTGGCTCATCAGTGCTTTGCTTTCGTCGAAGCAACGAAACCCTTCGTTCGATTCGGAGGCTTTGGTCTCGTCGGTGTCTTGTGGCGGGTTCAGACAGTGTCCAGGAACAATGCAGTCCAAATAACCAGAGTTCGAGCTACGTTCTTGGCCGGATAACGAGAAAAAGAGGTTGTTTTCGTCGTCTAGAGATGAAGATAGTGATCCGTTCGAAGAGTTCTGTGGACTCTGAGACGCGTGGACGGCGTTTGACTGAACCGGCGTTTTGGCAAACGCGGCAGTAGGGGATGCGGTTTGGTGAAAGCTGTGTTTTGGCTCACGGTAATATTGTTTGTGGTGATGATGATCAATGACGAACTGGGAAGGAGCGTTTGGCAAAAGGGATTGGAAATCATTTCTGTGAGGGGAGACGACGAGAGAATGGAGATTAGGGTTTGTGAGGATGATGTGAATGTCGGCGGGAGTGTAACCGAAGTTGGTTCTTGCCTGAGTGCCTCTCATGGAGAGAGCGGCTCTGTCGTAGGCGAGAGCGGCTTCGTGAGCGGTGTCGAACGTTCCGAGCCAGTGACGCTCTTTCGTGGTTGGGTCTCTGATTTCGGCCGCGTACCGGCCCCACGGCCGCCTTCTGACGCCGAGTAACCGCCCCGGATCCGCCTGCTTCGATCTCCGGCCACGTCTCTCTCCGGTGGAAGGTTTTGCGGCATTTCTGTCGTTGTTGATCTTGCTGGTTGTGTCCTGGTGGATCAGAGCAAAACCCAGTTGAGTTTGGCATGTGTCGAAGGTTGCCAAGGGTTTATCTAGGGTTTGGGAGCTTGTCATGATCTTGTTTTTGGGAGGTTTTTTTTTAGGGTTTTGGAAGATGTTTTGAGATTACAAAGTGGTGTGGTATGATGAATAGGTTGCTCTTTGTGTAGATGATGGTTTCTTTGGAAGTGAAAGTGAATGTTATATATAGAAAGGCACGAGAGAGAGAGAGAGAGAGAGAGAGAGAGAGAGAGAGAGAGAGTAGGTTAGCTTTTGATTCAACAGTTTTCATTAGAATTATATCTTTTTGCTCCTTTTGGTTCTATATTTGTTGCTTTTTTAAAAAGAATATCGTGAATATCAAGTTGGACGTGTGTATGTATGTATGTATGTATGTATGTATGTATGTATGTATGTATGTACGTACGTACGTACGTACGTACGCACGCATAATACATGGATGGTTACTCAAAAGGCCTAAGAAAGGGTTCAGAAGAAGCATTAGAACCACTGCAAATATGGAATGGCTCACTCTCTCCAATCTTTATCTTAGCGTAACTAGGGGGAAAGGAACATTTTTTTTTTGCCGGTAAAACTCCAGCATTCTCTAAACCACGATTCGATATCCGAAACCCTAATTTTTCATAGTGAAGTTATTTTGGCATACCAAATTTTTTGCAATATTATATGATTTTTTTTAATTCGACAATATATATTCTTAAGTTTTGTTACCATTATCCAAGATTGGTTGGCTCAACTGTTTACAAAAAAAAGAGAAAAACTCTTTTTCAATCCAAATTCGAGTTTTCAATTGGAGAACCACATTCATATAAATGTAGTGGGATCAAAGTTCCGATCAATTTTTATATTATAAAAAAAAAGTTTTGTTACCATTAGATAATCCAAAATAGATCCTAAAAATATTCCTAGATAATAGATAAAATTAATTTGAGGTGAAGATGGTCGATGTACTGCGATGATACTTATAAAGTATAGTAGTAGTGGGGTTATCTTGATATCTAAATGCATGATGCAGACATTACATCATGTAACTTGAGCAAAAAAAAAAGAAAGAGGATAAATTAAAGAGATTAAATAAATGCTATTATAAAAGGAAAGAAGTAAACAAGACCAAAACATTATCTAGTGATCACGTGCAATATGCAATAACCCTACCTATGATTTGCCTCGAGGATCTATGAAAATTGGCACTTAGGAGTATGATTTTATAAATTAGTTTTGACTAAATATATAAATCCCAATCAATTAAAATACATGTAATTTGCATATAATGCCGAGTAGTGATCACATGCAAATTAGATTTTGATTTAAATTTCGTTTGTCTCTTTGTAATGGTTTTCAAAGGAGTGGTTGAAGAGAGACAATATTTCAATGTAACCAAACAAAAAATGACTAGAGAAACTATGGTGGGTTTGTGGACAAATCCACACGTTCATGTCTCGATCGACCCATGCAAATTTTGTGTTTGGTAATAACGGTGGATTTAAAAAATATATATATTATATACAATCTTCTAATTCAGGGTAATACATGTGAATACCGTCTTCCCACACACGGATGTAGCAATACACTTGGAAAATCAAATATATATATATATATATATACACATACATATGCCATATCATATTTATTAATTTAAATTTTTTGAAATAAATAGAATAACAATAACATATATATAACATTTTTTTTGGACTAAACGTGTTAATATTCCGCATAAAAGTTATTGAATGGTGTTTAGATAACGGTTTCGCCAAATGTAAAACCGCTCATGTCATTCACAGTCTACATATACAAATATTAATAATTACATGTAAATTTTATTTCATATCATGCCTGCTGCATGTATGATACAAAGACTGGTGTAAAAAAATATTATTTTTTATGGTAATTGGACGTGACAAATTTATATCTGTCACGTAGATAAATGATGTTTTATATAGTACTCTCAATTGGTAAAACATGTGATTTGGTTACAATGTAAATCGATATAAATTTGGTGTGTAAATAACAATTAGAAGGGTCTCTTAGAACAATATTTGGACTGACCCCCCAAAAAAAGGGGTAATAGTCAAATGGAAGTGATCGGAAAGCAATAGCACCAATGTTGGGACATTTCTTTTAATTTCCAGCCGGATTATTATATTTTAAACACATATACACATAAATATGTGTTTCTTGTGCTGGTCGTGATTGAAATATGTCAAATAAAGTTTTCAACTTATATAAAAAGAATTACATGATATATATATATATATATAATAATGTGTTCATCATATACTATATTTGAATGAAAGATTTCATCTTAACAAAAAGTGCCATCACGGAAAGTGCGATGGCCTCCTTGTATTAGGGGTTGGCAATGTAAAAATAATATTTTTCTATCATAAAAATGGTCAAAAAAGTATTTTTGTAATGTATATTTTTGTTTTTTAAAGTTTTTCAATTTTGCCCTTTTGGCATTTTCTTCTCGTTGTGACCCATTTGCTCATTGTCTATAAATAAAAAAAAAATGAAAATGTACCAACTGATAGGGTGTTGTTCTCGGGATCCTTACTCTAAAAGTTACTCCCGGATCTGAGGGGATGTAGATTGAGCCGAAAGTTCAGATGAACCTCTCGGTTATAGAAAAAACATTAGTTACGTTTACCATAAATACCAATTTTTTTTTCTAAAAAATTCCACAAACATAAAATTGCAATTAACCAATAAGAGAAAAACAACAAAAAATATTTACAATGACAAAAAAAATTGATATCACAACCAGCAACCAATGCATATACATACACAAATACAACATATAACAAAAAATCAAATGAATTTAAGTATTTGACGTAATATTCTATATTTTTTCCCGGTTAAGCCACTTGATATTTTAAAATTTTAAATGTTTACAGTTTACATGTAACAAGTTCAATTAATTTTTTCTTGATATTTTTAAATTTTAAATGTTCCCGGTTAAGCCATTTTGAGTTTCAATCATTTTTTTATTTTTCAATTTTATAACTATTTATTTATTTTTATAGAATTTTATAAAACTACATCTATATCAAAATTATATAGTAGATATAATATATAATTATATATTGTCCGCCGATTGATTGGTTTTTTAATAAATTCCAACGTAACCATCTCCCAGTAAACAGTGTCCTAAATGTAATGATTAGAATAAAACAGATATCACTAGGTCCAGGTATTTTGTTTTATTATCTTCATCATTTTAATAATATATGAACTTATAATCTAAGAATTAGAATCTCGTCACCCTTTTGACTCCTCCACTGAGATTTGAACTCTGACGTGGGACAAGCTTCCGTTTGACCATTTTCAGTGTTTGCAAAATATTTTAAATATTTTCGAATAATAAGACCTTGATTTATAATTACAACACTATAATGGATACATTTATTAATCAGCCGGGCGATCCTAACGTTGCATTTCGTTACGGATAAAAATCACGTGAACATATTGAGACATTATTTTTCTGTCGTAATATACATTTATATTATGTAATTCTCCTTTTAAAAATATTTTTTTTGGTTAAACTTTAAAAATAAATTCGTCTCTACGTTTATATATTGTGATTTAATAACAGGAAAACTGGAAAGCAAAAAACATTTTTTTATGCAAATATTTTACTATTTTTCTTGTGATTTTAAGAAATTTGTCAAAAGGACAGCCCGGGATTTAGGGGCCGGGCAAAAGGTTGTCTGAGAAGAAACTCGGACTTTGACGAGAGTCCAAACATAATGACCGAAAAGCCAGGCTTTCATTATCATCACATTTAATCTCTGTAATATTTTATTAATTATGGTAATTAATTACATCTTTCATATAGTTACAAAAAAAAACACATCGTTATCGTCTAAATTAATTAGGGAAAATCCAAGATTTAATATCTTGGGTTATCAAAATGTTTTAAAAGTTTCAGATTTAAACATCGTTATTCTTTCTTCCTAAACGTACTCATCACGTGGCACGCCCCTCGTGCAGTGGTTGCAGCCACATCTTTCCCGCCATATACCCGATATTTAATCTATTGGTTTATCAATTTTTTTGAAAAGTTTCAGATTTGAATCATAATATGAAATATTTTTCTTTTGCGATTAATCTCATATAAAATAATATATATTATTCAAATAATTTATTAAGAATAATCAGCGTACATAATCATAGAATCTGATAACAAAAAAAAAGTAAAACAAGTAAAAGAAAATTGTCATTTCATACAAAATTTAGATTCCATTTTCACGATCGTTTTTGCACTAATTAAGCTAAAAACACCAAACACAGAGAGAGAAATTACACAGTTGGATTTTGGGGGCACCCTTAACCAGTGAAAAATAGACACGTAAGCTACTTAGAAGCCCCACCGAACCTAGTATGTGGGCACTGTCGACACGTAACCGTTGACGCGAGCTTAAGATGGGACCCACTTTGATGACGTGTCAAAATCTGAGAACGTTGTCAGGTTAAACGGATAGGATTCACCGAGACGATAGTAAGATGTGTTGCGGTGGGCAAAAAGATCTGTCGCACGTACCATGTGATTTTTTAAGGGTCCGACGGTTGAGGGTGAGAGTGATTCTCTGTCACGTCGGACACATCTCTGGTTTTAAGCAAACCGAAACCGGTTTTGTCCTTTTCAACCGACATCGAAAACCGAACATGCCCTAACCGAAACTGTGGAACCTCTGTCCCAATCAGAGGGTCTCGAATTAAACATCTGTCTTGTTTCATTGTCGACTTCTGCAACCCAAACCAGGTTTTGTGCCATGGCTGATATTGAGAAGTCGTAGTTTCAATCTCTGCAGTGTAATGGATTTTCCATGACACCCAAATTATTACAATCTTAAAATATTTATAACTACCTATATATATATATACACACACCTATATATATATATGGGCATTCTAAAGTCGTATCCTTTTTCACGATTTTGAAATGCCCATAACGTCAATTTTTGAAGGATAGTACCAAGCAGTAACTTAAGAAACTATTATTCGATTTTCATAATATGTAAGGAATTTTAGGGGCTAAATAAATATTTGTGACCTTTGGGGACTTAGTTAGCAAAAGGGAGAAAACGTCAGGTGCCTTTGAAGCTCGAATCTTTGAGATCAGAGCTCGCGAGGGAGATAGAGCGCGCTAGGGTTTTTTGCAGTTCCGTCCGGGTTCGCTGTTGCCTTCGATTTTAGGGTTTAGGTTCTCTAATTGGATTCGGAGGCTACAATTTCTGCTCTCTAGAGTCAATTTAGGTTGTCGGGATCTGCGTGATTTCGACGATGTATAGCGGATCTAGCGATGGCGAGAGCCTCGACACCTCGATTCAGAGGAAGGTTCCGCCGCCTTCTTCCATGCTTTGGGTCAGAAATTTACGACGGTACATTGGGTCTGGTACTGGACTGGGATCCGAAGCTCTAATGGGTAGGTCCTGATTCTGTCTAATTCTACCTGGTTTCGATCTATATCGGAGTTCGAGAATATGAATGCAATTCCACTTTTTGGCGTTAAGGCGACGAGTAAATTTGTGGCTGTTGGAGAAAATGTACTGTTTTTCTTAATCTTATCAGCAACATGCTCTCGGTTTTGCTTAACTTTGGCGTACATTGTTTTTTAGAGCTTGAGACGAAGAGAATTTTGCTTGAAATATTCAAAGAGAAGCAGCAAAAAAGCCTTGAAGCAGGCACAGTACCGAGTTTCTACAAGAAGGCATGTATCCTCCATGGGTATTATTATACTCTAAAATATAATATGTTCGTGTTCTTGCTGATTAAGTTGGTTGTGACACCCTTGGTTAAGCTTTGAATTTGATACATTTGGAAAATGTTGTTACTTTACTTTCTTTTTTTTTATGTCTTGTTTGATTGACATTTAGTTCGTGGCCATTCTTTTGTTTCAGAAGCCAGAAGAAGGATCTATCAGTCACAGGGTCCAAAGGCTTGCAAAATACCGGTTTTTGAAGGTTCTAGCTATTCAGCGAATGTTTTGTATTTTTTCAGAAGAGAAGATGTTTAATGTTTAACTCCTTTCAACTTGTTGATTCATGTCTCAGAAACAATCAGATCTTTTGTTAAATACTGATGATTTGGATGCTATGTGGGTTTGCTTGAGAGAAAACTGTGTGATTGATGATGCCACTGGTGCGGAAAAGGTATGTACCCCCACTAGACAGGGATACGAACTGGGTTGGTTCTTCTCATTTATTTTTTTCTATCATCTGAGAAATAGAAATATGTTTTTGTCTCCTTCTGAGGATTCTGATAGCTAATTGTTGTTCTTGTAGATGAATTATGAAGACTTCTGCCACATTGCCTCTGTATGTACAGAACAAATCGGTCCCAAATGTCGCCGGTTTTTCAGCCCATCAAATTTTATGAAGTTTGAGAAAGATGAAGCTGGAAGGATTGCCATTCTGCCCTTCTACCTTTATGTGATGCGCACAGTGAGTATTTTACCCTACTCTATTTTTATCCATATATCTACTTGTTTATTTGCTTGATTAATATGGTTAAGCATTATCACAGGGGGTTTCATTGCTTTGTTGACTGTCAGTAGCTTCCTGATTGTTTCCTGCTAGTATTTTGTGTCTGAATGGTCCTCAACAGCTCAACTCTTTTTGAATTATAGTTCCTTCTAATTTTCCCGACTCTTTGTTCAAAATTGTTCAGGTATCGCTTACACAGGCCAGAATTGACATGAGTGAGCTTGACGAAGATTCTGATGGTTTCCTTCAACCTCATGTAAGTACCTGGTGGCTCTAAAGTATCAAGATTGAATTTGACTCTGTCATGGAGTTCCTTGACCATCGTGCTTAGTTTTGTTATTTATAGGAAATGGAGGCCTATATTCATGGTCTGATTCCTAATCTGGCTCAACTAAGGGACATGCCTCCAGCATTTGCTCAAATGTATTGCCGCATAGCAGCCCACAAATTTTTCTTCTTCTGTGATCCCCATAGACGAGGTTGGTACCAAAGATTTACAGTTAGATAACGGAAAGTTTCCTGACATAGGTATATAAATGTGACTTGTTTCGCTTACAGGGAAAGCCTGTATTAAGAAGATCCTACTCAGTAACTGTCTGCAGGAACTAATGGAATTGCATCAGGTAAGTTCAAATGAAATAGACTGGAACTGAGTATGTTTCCCGATGTCAGACATTTGTGTTTTTGCTTGCGTGTACTGATAGTTCTCCTGATATTTTATGTCAGGAAAGCGAGGAAGAAGTCACTGACACTGAACAGGCAGAGAATTGGTTCTCTTTAACGTCAGCTCAACGCATATGCGGTGGGTGTGCATTTCATTGAAAGAATCAATTCTTGTTACGACTTGATAACTATTCTTGTTATGGTTCTTTCTTCTGTAGATATGTTTCTCGCACTCGATAAAGATATGAATGGATCACTGAGCAAGCAAGAACTCAAAGAATATGCTGATGGGACATTGACTGAGATTTTCATTGAAAGAGGTAAAACTAAATGCTTTGGTCTTTGTTAAAAAGCCACCACTAGTGGTCTGACCATGCTTAGTATCAGTCCTAGATTACCCGATTAGATGATTTAGATCAGACGTGGGATATTGAAAGTTGGATCAGTGCTCACCCTCTCCTGTGATTGTTCAATCAATTGGGAATCATGAAGGGTATTTGAGTTTCATTGTATGGCTTTCTACTCGATGGTGAACTTGGCAGTATTTTTTTTTACTGACATATAGCTTTTAGAGACCTCGAACCTGTTTGGGTGCCCTGTGCCCATCAGAGAAATGGAAAACAGTATGATGAAACTGAGCAGTCAATCTATGTGTCTCTTTAGCTTCCACCCTTTTGTGCTGATTTACCTAAAAAAGTTTCTTCCTAGTGTTTGATGAGCATGTCCGGCGTGGGAAAAGCGGTGGAGGACATGCCCGAGAGATGGACTTTGAGAGTTTCCTCGACTTTGTTCTTGCTCTGGAGAACAAAGACACTCCAGAGGGGTTAACATATTTATTTCGCTGTCTCGATCTCCATGGGAGGGGCTTTCTCACTACTGCTGATATTCACACACTTTTCAGGTAATGATTTTGCCATTAAGCTGACTGAATTCTATAAACATTCAGTAGATTTCTGCAGCTTTTTACAAATAAAACATCTTAAAGTTCATGCGAGATCAATCTTTGGAAGTAAAGAAGGGAGCATCACAGAGTTGTGATATTACCTGATGCAATCTTCCAATATGAAACTCTGTAAAATTGTCTGCTTGTGGCCCGTGAGCTTAGTCCCGCCCGAGTCCTCAGATATGCAGAGACATGAGTGCATATATATATATATATATATATATATATATATATATATGCAAATGAAAGAAGGAAAGACAAAAACTTTGCTAACTAATTGCCATATTATATTCACCAAACAACCTCTACGGCTGTCTCTGTTAAACTCCCATATCTGATGATGACTTGTGCTTCAAAAAATGGTTGGAACACAGAGACGTTCACCAGAAATGGATAGAGGGAGGGAACTACGAGCTGTGCATAGAGGACGTAAGAGACGAGATCTGGGACATGGTGAAGCCTGGTGACCCGTTAAAGATCACTTTAGCAGATCTACTGACGTGTAAACAGGGCGGGACCGTGGCCAGCATGCTCATTGACGTCCGAGGTTTCTGGGCTCATGACAACCGCGAGAACCTTCTGCAGGAAGAAGAGGAACCCCCCGAGGAAGAACAGCAGTGACCGTTTACGAAACACGGCATTGGAACCACCATTGTCTCGGAATCTCGGTGGCCGAGGAGGCGGCTTGCGAGTTTTGTGGTGGAAGAAGCATGATCGTGTGTTAAAAAGTGTTTGTGTTTAATGTCTGATGTGTGTTTGTTTTCTGTGTAAGAAACCGGAGGCTGGTGGATTGAAACTAAACTTAGTGGAAACGAAATCGCTGTCTATATAGTTGGTTCCCTCCCAAGAGGAATGTTTCTCTGGTGATAATTATCCACTACGCTCATGTGCATTGTCTGTTCGGAACGCCGTCGACCTGATCAATTGCCACGTGTCGGTATGACTCTCGAGGTCCTCGCGTGACGTAAGCAGTGCGACATTCTCCGGAGGCGATGCGGACTTTGCTGTGCTTGAACCATGCGCGTGTATACTAGGGAGTGCGTGGCACATGTAAATTAGTATTTGTTACAATTTTTTTTTAAAAAAAAAAATCGGGTAACAATTTAATTTTTAAAATGATAAAACTCTTTGAGAAAAATAATCAGATATATAAATTTGCTTTTACGCGGATTTAAATAAAAGCTAAGCTAAACATTTCAAAATTCGTAGACGTTAGATTTGGACCAAGTGCCTGCTTTTAAATGCGGGTTTGAATTGATTATGGTAACTGTAGTCCTGATTTTGGGTTGGTTATGTAATATTTAATCGAATTAAATAAGTATATAAATGCATTTAAATATTTGGATATAATTTTAATTATACGAAATGAACCAAATTTGAATTTAATTTAAATTGAAAATTCCAGTAAAATTAAAGTTACTTAAAATATAGCTTTAGAGCTTTGCTTGTAGGAATTGGTATGAATGTCATAACATTTTTTCATCCGAATAACTGTGTTATTTAGTGTTTTTAAAGTTGCATGCCAATAAATAGCCATTATGAGTAAATATAAAATATGATTAATTTCGGATTCTTCTTTAGTGAGTTTTCAGCAACAAATATACCTCTATATATAAATATAATACAAATCTTATAGATTTCACACAAAAGCCATCTGTCAGGGGAAATTAAAGAAAACGTGGGGTTTGAGAATGTCTGAGGGAGGGTCCCACTTTCCGACCGCAATGATGCATCTTTTTTCTTTATCTTCCCGTTGTCGTAATTCTCGCAAAGTAGAGAAGTAAATTTTAATTTTAAGAAATATGCCCATTATATATATATATATATATATGGAAATGTTAAGCGAGGTTAACGTTCATGTACGTGTTTTGAAAAGTTAAACGTGCAAATATAAACATAAATTTACAAAGCTCACTTATAATCACTGTTGAAAATTTTCAATTGATTTTTGAAGAAATCATATATTTTCTTTTTGGCGAAACGTGAAATATTTTAAATCTCGTAAGGATAAGTGACGGCAACATAAATTAAGCATTAATCCCACGGTTTAACGGATAATGATTTCCTTAATCTCTTTTTAAATTTCAACAAAAGACGACATTTTTCCACTTTGATAGTTTTTTTTTTTTTAAAAATCATTTAATTGAATTTCAACCCTTTTCCTTCTCTCTCTCCACCTTCTCTTCTCATCTTGCGTAGCACCCACAACAAATTTTTCCCTCGATTTCTTGATCTGCCGCTGTTCTTGATCTTTCTCTCCGAAGATCAGAGAGAGAGAGAGAGAGAGAGATGCGTTGAAAAAGCCCGAAGCTTCTTTTTTTTGCATGTTTTCCTCTCGAGGGTACAGTAAAAGTCTCGAGATGTGTTGAGCAGAAGAAGAGTTTGGATTCTCCACTTGATTTTGTCAGTAGGGTTCTTCGAATTTCAATTGCTCGGAGGATTTAAGCCTGGGAGATGAGTGGATGTCTCCCCTGCTGCTTCGGGTCTTCGGCTAAGGAAGGTGCTGCGAAAGAATCAGTGAAGAAGGAAGCTTCAGCTAAAGACGTCTCACTTGCTCACTCCCACCATGTCAGTTCAGGTGAAATTTTCATCAATTTTGTGGATTTTCGAGGTGGGATCTGTTCAATTTTCTTGATTTAGATCGATTTCGTGTACCAAGTCTCGCAAAGTTGGAGCCTTGATGATGATTTGCTGTGGAGTAGGACGAAATGCTGATGTTTCTGATCTAGTTCATCTATGATAGTTTCATGGCTGTGAGGTTTCTGGAATCTTAAAAATTCGAGAGATCTGTTGGGTTTTGGGAGTTCTGATTTGAGTTTGATTAATCCATTTCCAAATTATCCTTTCTGTCTCGTCCATAATTCTCTGATTGGGGTAAACATTGATGGTAATTACAGTTCTTGAATGGAAATGGTGGTCAGTTCTCTATATATGAATTGCGTTAGGACATGTAAAGACAAGAGTTGTGAATGCTTTTTGACAAATTAGGAATCATAAAAATGGAAATTCTAAGGTTTAAGCTGATGATCTGAAGTTGAATATTTAGCCGTTTCTCGGGAAAAATACAGTCACATTGCTCATTACACTCTAATCCCCTTTCGCTGTTTTAGTCCTGATTTATCTGTTTAAACCCGAAACCCGTCGTGGTTTAAGTTGTCGTCACTATTTGAATATGGAAATCTTTAGGTTTAACTCGATTCTGCTATTCGGATCTGATATTCGGTTGGAGTATGATCGATTTTCTGTTTCTTGTTCGATGTTTCTTTACCCGTTGTTTCCCGGGTGTTATGTTTTACGAGTAGAGGAAATAACTATCTGAAACAGAGAGTAGTCATCATGTAATTGTATTTGTACTACCTTTTTTGTAGAAAAATCGAAATCTAAAGGAGGTTCCGAACACAAGAAAGAAGCGGCAGCTGGAAAAGACGGGGCGACAGCACATATAGCAGCACAGACATTTACCTTCCGAGAATTGGCTGCTGCCACAAATAACTTCAGACCCGAATGCCTTCTCGGGGAAGGCGGATTCGGACGTGTTTACAAGGGTCGCCTTGAAAGCCCAGGACGGGTTAAGTCTCAAACGAGATCGCCCTTTAAATTTATCTTCCTAAGATATTCCCTTTTGATTTGACGACGGTTATTATACGTGCAGATAGTTGCGGTTAAACAGCTAGACCGAAATGGCCTACAAGGGAACAGAGAGTTTCTTGTAGAGGTTCTAATGCTGAGTCTCCTCCACCATCCAAATCTCGTGAGTCTGATCGGTTATTGTGCTGACGGCGATCAACGCCTTCTCGTTTACGAGTTCATGCCTTTAGGTTCATTGGAGGATCACCTTCATGGTAATTGCTTCACGGATCGTTTTCTTTGATTGTATTTAAACCTATTGATATGAATCTCGGATCGAAAGTTCTCTATTTGGACCGAAGGATAGATGATGGATACATCCCAAAACCCTGTAGCAACGCGTGAATCAAACCTAGAAGTAGCATTGTGGTATCACCTACCATTTGCAGAGATAGTATATATATATATATATAATATAGATATATATATGTGTGTGCGTGGATATCGGATCTCGAATAGTTGTATGCAGCAGTAGTAACGGTTTAAACTCGGTTATTAGATCTTCCACCTGATAGAGAGCCTCTAGATTGGAACACGAGGATGAAAATAGCTGCGGGGGCAGCCAAGGGACTGGAGTATCTGCACGACAAAGCGAACCCGCCCGTGATCTATCGGGATTTAAAGTCGTCGAATATACTTCTAGGGGAAGGATACCATCCAAAGTTATCAGATTTTGGGCTAGCGAAATTGGGGCCAGTCGGGGATAAAACGCATGTATCGACCCGTGTTATGGGCACGTATGGCTATTGCGCGCCGGAATACGCAATGACCGGCCAGCTCACCCTCAAGTCCGACGTCTATAGCTTTGGAGTCGTGTTTCTGGAGCTCATCACGGGTCGTAAGGCCATTGATAATGCCCGAGACCCTGGGGAACACAACCTCGTTGCATGGGTAAGCAAGCAAGCATCGTTATCATCCTGAATTTCTTTACGCAATCTGACCTGATATCATATTTGATTCGTCTTGTTTACAGGCGAGGCCGTTGTTCAAGGACCGGAGAAAGTTTCCGAAGATGGCAGACCCATTGCTGCAAGGGAGATACCCGATGCGCGGGCTATATCAGGCGCTTGCAGTTGCAGCGATGTGTTTGCAAGAGCAGGCGGCCACGAGGCCGCTCATAGGCGACGTGGTGACGGCTCTAACTTACTTAGCATCGCAAAGTTACGATCCAAACGGCAGAGGGGGGCGGCATCCGGTCAGGACGAGAGATGAACTGAGGAGGAGCAGCCATGGCAGCCCGGCAGAGACCAGAAGCCGGCTGGGGTCACCTGCCAGTGCCACGCATCGAAACTCTCCGGATTGTAGGAGAAGGGACTTGATGAATTCAGGGTCGGATTTGTGAATCTTAACAGGGACAGGGAGGGATTAGTCTTGTTTACTTTCATGACATGTTAGCCTTTGAGGTTATTGCTGTTATTACAAATCAACTTGAAAATGATTTTACTCTATCCATTTCATTATATTAAAGATAAGCAAAGCCAAACGTACTAAATTAACGTTTTACATAACTCGGGGGTTACACAAATAATACCATAACGAATTCGGACAATGCCGTAATCCCAAAAAAGGAATACTCCGCCAGGGTTGTCGGCAGTTATTACAACATATGACCGTCTCATTATCATTTCCTCCGCCTACTACCCTGCACCACACAAATGGTTAAGGCTTCTTTATATGCATATACATAGATACATACATATATATATATGATAGAATTAGTACCGAGCTCACGTAATCATCCATGGAGAGCCGCTTTCGCTTCTTCAATGAAGACGGGCTCTCTGTCACTTGCCTTCCTGAAGCCCGCTTCGATGGCGTTGCGCTCTGCCACCCCAAAACAAAACAGAGGAAACACAGGAATAATGGCGGAGTTATAATGTGTATGTTAATGAAGAAGATACAAGAAGGGTTTCACACCTTTGAGAGCTTCTTCTCTTTGCGGGCTTGCCTTTCTCTCTCATCAAACTCTTGGTTCTCCTTCTCAATCAGCCTAATCAGAGTGTCGCATCTCCTCGCGAGTTCCTGAGTGGTGCGTGATTTCACAAACCAGTCAAACCTGAACAATGGTGATGTCCTGAACGCAGCCTTCAGCTCTTCCCAGTTCCCATACCCGAGTTTGTGAACCATGCAAATCTGTTTCCATAACCGGTCTCATGGGTTCAAATCTCAAAATCTCGATGAATGACGTGACATTAGATTCAACAGTATGAGTTTGGATGGATGGAGATATCGAACCATGAAACGATCACACTCCTCGTTGTACAGCTTTCCCTTGTTCTGACCGTACTGAATCTTCAGTTCCAGCCAAGGGTTCTTGTACCGATCCAGTTTCTTCCCTATTGCTTTCATGATCTCGTCTTTCCTAGAAATCCTCGCCTCTCCCCTTTCGATGTTTTTGATGATTCTGTCATAATCTACAAAAACAGTTTCAAAGGGGGCTTATAACATAAGCAGTAATCCCAAGCCAAAATTCTAGTTCTCTAAGCCAAAAATCTGAGGTAAGTCGCTTACCGTTCAGTTCCTTGTATCGCTCCTTAAAAACCTTGGCATAACGTTCAACCTCTTCCTCTGTTTTCCCTTCCATCTCCGAGGCAATGCTTTTTATGTCATTCCGACCATACTTCTCACAAGCCCGTATAAAGGTGTTGAAGTCTCTTCTACTCCATGTAGAGAAACCCTGAAAATTTAACACCACACTGCCTTAGAATCAATCCAACTCAAATCAAAATATAACCCCCCCAAAAAAAAAGTTCCCACTTGCCTCTTCCAATAATCTTTCCTTTTCTTCCACCTCTTCAGCAGTTAATGGGTCTCCACCTTCTAAGGACACATTTCTTGATCAGTAATTGGTTCGAGAAAAAGAAAACATGTCGGAAAAGAGGGTATCAGAAATGACTGACCTTCTGGTTCATCGACCTCGATTGTGTCTTTCATCTGATTTTTCTGATGAGCTTGCTGAAACGATCAAAGAGAAGCCACAAACTTAATCTTTTCACAAGCCCAAAACTCTCCATTGTACACAATTCAGATGACAAGCATTTACAGAATCAGATGGTGAACTTCTCTTCAACTTAAAAAAAATACCCACCATAAGGTGACGAACTTCCTTTTCATACAACTCAGTCAGTCTCTGAATGTTGAAGAACTGGAAATCATGCCTGCAAAATGCACAAGAAATGATTTTTTTTTCTTAACTGGGTGAGGAGATACTGTTCGGAAGAATAGAAAGTTCATGAATACGAATAGAATTTATCGAGGTTACTCACAATTGGGGCATGCGAGGAATTCTAGGCTCCTTGGGTTTAGCTGGAGCACCTTGCCGCAATGTTTGCTTGAAGTATTCAGACTCAGAGTAGCTGAAGGAGGTAGAGAGAAAAAAAAAGGAGGAAATTTTCATGTAAGAGAATGGTTAGAATTTAGAAAGACTAAGATGATCACACAATGTATGAGGCAGAAGTAACATTTACTTGCGCTTCCTCTCTCTTTTTGGCGGATCATTCCAATTCTCAGTCACAATCTTTTTAAAATCAAACTTGTTCTCATCCTACAGAACAAAATTTAAATAAGAAATTTGTAACAATGAGGCGCAAATACTGTACAGGATAACGAGAATTGTAGGAATACAATAAAATGAATCCAAGAATTACCTTATTGTCATCATCAAAATCATAAAAATCAGCACCTGCAACAGAACCAGATAATAAGATGATTTGAACATTTCAATCTGCATGCAAGAGAATCACCACATAAAAGACAAAAGAATGGTTACTAATGCACATACTGTCATCCATTTTAAACTTTATTGCATCTTCAGTGAATTTCTTCATCTTGGCATCAAGCTCAGCCGTTGTTTCTTCTCCTTTAGCAATGATTCTGTCTATATCCTCATCCGTAATAGTGCTATCTTTAGAACTGAACACCATTTCAGCACCAAACCTCACCATTTGAAGCAACTCATCCTTATTAACAGCTGCATCAGAAAGAAAAGGTATTAGTCCATCAGGGCAACTTGATGCATAAGAAGAACTTTGGCATATAAACACATACTTTTCTGCTCCGCCAATCGTCCTTGTTGAATCACCAAAGCATCAAGTGCCAACTTCTTATAAGCTCTTTCGATCACTTTCTCCTCAATAGTATACTAAGGATTGGAACAACGAATAAAGAGTTAACCAAAATGCTCACAGCAGCTCTAGCTTGACGTACAAGGGAATGCTCTAACCTCTGTGCAAAATCGGAAGACTTGAACTTCTTTCTTTTGACCAATCCTGTGGGCACGGTCCTGGGCTTGAAGATCTACTTGGGGGTTCCTGTCACAATCCACCAGTATCGATAAGCATGAAGAGAAGCCATATGTTACAATGAATAGGAAAAGAGGCTAACCAGTCACTATCATAAAGGATTACAACATCTGCAGTAGCAAGATTGATACCAAGCCCTCCAGCTCTAGTAGATAACAAGAAAACGAACTTCTCACTTCCTGGCACATTGAAGGCTTCAATGGAAGCATCTCGTTCATCACCGCCAGTATTTCCATCAATACGACAGTACCGGTAACCTCGATACACTAAATAATCTTCAAGGATATCCAAAAGCCTAGTCATCTGATATCGGGTGAGGAAGAAGCTTAGAATTTAAATGATGACGCAAGAAAAGAACAATACTTCACACACTTTGCTAAAAGAAGGGAAACGCATAGGAGGTCGATAGAGAGGCATTTTTTTGCACTTTCTAGCAGCAGTTTTACCTGAGAAAATATAAGGACCCTCGAATCACGTTCCTTCAACTTCGGAAGCAACTTATCCAAAAGAACCATCTTACCTGGAAACAAGAAACATATATACTCATACTTGAAACACAAGCGCAACCATCCACATAAATCAAAAGGATCCAGTATGAAGGTTACACTTGCCTGCATTTGTTATAAGGTGATCTCCTGTGGTATAAGGGGGACCAGGTTCTGCACCCTGGAAGAGATAAGGATGATTGCAGCATTTACGTAATTGCATCGCTATGTTCAACAGACGTTTGCGTTCTCCACCAGCATTGATTACTTCAAGGTCCTTCTGCAACAATGCCTTGTAGTACTGTTTTTGCATCTGAGACATGCCAACTTTGAGAATTGTCTCCTTTTTTGGAGGCAAACCTTTCTCAACATCTGATTTCAATCTCCGCAGAAGAAATGGCCGAAGAACCTAAAAGATTGTTTATGTAAGTGACAGGGCAACCAAACATCATAAAACTCTATATCAAGGATAAATGCATACCTTATGAAGCTGTTGAACAACTTCCTGCTGGTCATTCTCGCCAGAAATTTGAAACCATTCATCAAAAGTCTCTGCTGAGCTAAAAATCTCAGGCAGAAGAAAATTGAGAAGAGCCCAAAGCTCATGAAGATTATTCTGCATAGAAGAACCAAGGATAGTTATAAGATACCACGACAAACACATCATTTTCTAAAAGAGGAAAAAAGTTAGACAAATTATGTGAGGGGATGGATGCTAAAGCAAAACAGTCAAAACGAAGAGACATACAAGGAAAGTTTTTTCCAGATAGAATAAGTAATTAAATACAAGGCTTCTGTATCTAAAAGAAATCCCAGAAGGGAAAATGGGATAAATACCTGAAGGGGTGTTCCAGTGATAAGAAGCCGATAATTGGTATTATACAGTCTCATGGTCTTTGAGAGGAGAGAATTTTCATTCTTGATTCGATGTGCTTCATCAATGATTATATAACGCCAGCTAAAACGAAGCAAAGCTGACTTCTCTTTAATGGCCATCTCAAAGCTTGTAACACAGACATCAAACTTCCCAGCAACTAGCAGCTCTTTGCGAATATAATTCTGCATTATATAATAGCCATTTAAGCAACCTCACACCAAAAGAACAAAAATCTTTTTTCATGCAAAGGATTTGCACTTACTCTTTCCTCCGGATTACCAAGGAACTTCACAGCGCGCAGGACAGGACAAAAACGGCGTATTTCATTCATCCAATTACCAAGGGTTGATTTTGGAGCAACTACCATATGAGGGCCAGTAATTCCTCTGTACTCATGCAAGTAACCCAACAAAGAAATTGTTTGTAGCGTCTTTCCCAGACCCTAGATAACATGATGATAACTGTTAATAGCAAAGAATAATTGAAAACACGTCATTTAAAATCATAGGAGCAAAGGGAAACCATTTCATCTGCAAGAATTCCGTTTATGCCATTCTCATACAGTCGAATGAGCCAGTTTAAACCAGCAAGTTGGTAATCTCTCATCTTCCCCTGGATACCTGTATAATGAAAGTAAGGAGACAATATAAATGAAATTCTCCCATTAAAATAACGACGAGTTGATGTAAAGTGTCAATCGTATTGTAACGATTGGCCAGATAATCAATAGTCAGCAATAATAAAGCTTTTTGCTATCAAACATATAAGAGATTATACGGAATTCATAAGTTAAAAGGGCGGAAAACACAGGTTCTTACAAGATGGCTGTGCGACCAGCCGTGTGTTTCCAGCTCCAGATAGACCGTCCTCTTCTTCCTTTAGACACTCTTCATCTTCTTCCTCTTCGGTGATTTTGGAAGCATGCCGACCCCTGAATCATTACAAATAGGACTCAACAAATTTATTGCTACAGCCAATCACATTCCATAAGTGAAGTTTTGGTCAAGAACAATAGCCTATTTTAAGACCAAAAGACCCACCCAAATCAATTTTCCATGAATGAGCTACTTTCTATAAAAGAGCTCCAACATGTAATATTTACATACCTTCCTTTGGTCTTCTTCTGAGATGAAGATTGATCACCTTTGGCGAAATGCGCAAATAACTCAGTTTGCTGTAAAAGATACTTCAATCTTCCTTTCCCTTTGTTGTTCTGCGTATACAGAAGAGTAAGGTTGGTCAATGCATATGGAATACAGCAACCACAAGCAGCTGAGAACCCAGTTATGTTGCAATTCAAACACACCATATCGGCATCTATAGCAGCATTTTGGGCATCTAACATTTCCTGAATCTTCTGCTTCTTCATTTTCTGCATTTCTTTAAGTCTAGCTCTCTCACGCTTGCTGACTTCAGCCTTCTCCCCATCTTCATCGTCCTGCTTGGGAAATCAAAATCATGGAGTGGGTGATCGATATCCTCAAAATCCGCGTCCTCGTACCAGTCCATGGAACAAACACGAACATGCATTTTAGAAAAACCAAAAAAAAAATCCTTCAAGTGAATACAGTTTATGTCACTCCTATAAAAGTAAGCTTTTTTCGGTGGCGAATTGGGCTAAGTAGACACGAGAAATCCAAACTCCAAGGCCTCCAAGATGGTGCACTGTTATGTTCCAAACACACCCACTACACAATTTCTTTTTTTTTTTAATTCAAAAATCCCGACAGAAACCCTAATCATGCAATGAACAATGACAAGACAGAAAAGTAAAAAACAGATTCGACATCGAAACAATCGAGGGGGAACAGAAACGGTAACCCCCACCTCTTCGTCATCATCTTCGGCGGCGGCGATGGCATCTTCATCGGACACAGGGGAAAGTCCGGCGGCATCGACATCGTCGGAATCGGCGGAGCGAGCGACGGCCTCGAGCTCTTCCTCATCTTCCTCGTCGTTGACCTGATCGTTAACCCTCTGCGCCTCCTCCTCCTCGGACGAGAAGGCGTCGTCGGAAGAAGCTTCGCGCTTCGAGGTTCTCGCCATGGACGCTCCGGATCTTCTTTTTCCCCTCTTAGTCGAGGGTTCCTTCCCGAGTTTCGCTTCAGACAGTAAAACTCACAAAGTGAAAAAATTTAAAAAGAAAAATCCAAAGACCGACTTTTGAAACAAGGGCTTCCAAGTTATTTAAGGCCGTTGATCAGATGGTAATATATGAACGGCTACGATTTGCCACGTGGCGTATCTCGACAGCAGGTTCCCGCCACACACAAAAAAAACAGAACCGTGGAAACTCCCGCCCTTGGACTCTAATACTAAATAACTGGGCTGCGTCAGGCCCATTGGGTTTAACTAATAAGTTTTTTTTTAAAAAAAGAAAATTTTTTATATATTATTTTATTTTATACCTAAACTCTCGATATTCTTTCCGATTCGACTTATTAAATATATATATATACACACACTAGAGATGTGGAAGTGATGATATAAATAAAACATTACTGTTTGGTCTGACATTTCATTATTTTACATCTATCTATCTTGAGGATAATGTTTGGTGTTTCTACTCTGTCTAACTGTCTTTTTCTTCTAGAAACTACACAAATATAATACATATACATATATATGTATATGTATTATATATATATACATAAGTTTTGGTCAAACTTGGACAGGAGGTAACTCCACCTTGAGATTGAGTGTTCGATTCCTGACTAGTGGGGAGTGAGGTAATTTCTGGGTTTATATGATCCATATACAAAGGCTTCTTCCGAACCGGAGGTTTACCTAGTCAGCGCGTCCGAAGGGTAGTAGTTAGAGGTCCTCCGTTAAAAAAAAAAAAAAAAAAGTTTTGGTTTCACCATTCAAAATCTGATTTTTATGAATGGGGGTGGTGGTGTGTAACCTTAGTTTTTTGTTTTTTGTTTTTATAATTCTAAATTTATCAAAATTTGATCCAAATTCATCTTTTTAAAAATTAGAAAAATTCGGGTAAATATCTATTTTCCACATTTAAATTTGAATACGTGATAAAAAAAAATATGTTTTGCATATTTTATCACCACTCAACTTTGGATAGTTTTTTTTTTGTATTTGGGATGTCTACTAGTTTTATACTGTATATGTTTTTTTTTATAAGAGTATGTATCATCAAAACGTGTTTTGAATGATTTTTCATTTTTTTTTTGGGAATTTTATGATTACTATTCACTTTAATTAACAAAAAAGTCTACACAAAACAAGATAATGATTCGACTGTATAAAAATAAAACCCAAAAAAAAAAAAAGATCTCTACAACAATGTTTTGGGTTGGCGGCTATATATAACAACATAATACATTTGATAATATTCTTCAATTATTTGTAACAAAGTTGTTTTCCAAAACGAGCATACTAAAAAGACATTCACAAGGTCAAATAAATTTAGAAAACCAAAAAAAAAAATTTCATTTTTTTCATACAATTTTTAAAAATTACTCATTAGAGATGTGGAAATTAGTCAATAGATTTTCAAACCAAGTTTTGATTTGTGTGAGAGAATAATAAACCGAAGAAAGCAAAGTGTTACCTAAGCCCCCAATATTTATTTATTACCCTCTTTCCTCCAATGATTGTTTAAGTTTAACCACTCCCATTTGTTTTCAATTTTTCTATAAATAAAAATTAAATTGTATAAATTAATAGTTTGTGCTTACTCTAATTAAATTAATTATACCCCCACAGTTTCCTCACCAACCAGCCCTAATTTTGCCCAACACAACACAACAATACGTATTCATGTGGAAAATAGTGGAAACTTACAATGTGCAAGATTTATAAAAAGAAATAATATATAGTTAGGTTTTTTTATAAGACGATCTGTTCACATAAATTACGAGATTAAATCCATTAAATAATAGCTGTGATGATAGACTAAAATCGTAGTTTTATTGTTAATTGGAGCTGAAAATGGCATGAATTAATTTAAAAATATATATCATTCTATCTTTTTTTAAAAATATTAAAATTTATTCATATATTTTGATAATTGTGATTTTAATAAGATTGGTTAGAAATTTAAGAATTATTTTTAGTGTTTCGCTAACAACAACAATAATAATATTGTTTTAACAAAAAAAACAATAATAATATTGCTGGAGATGCGGTGCCGAATGATACAACTTTTGTCCATGTAACTATGATTCAATGAAATAATACATGCGATACAATCTTTATAATATAGACAAACTTCACGACCATTAAAAATAAAACTCGAATAAAATTGAATCTTCAATTTTATATATACATATATAAGACCTTAAATAATGTATTTTTTTTATTTATTTTATGTTTAGTCGCAGAAAGTCAGACCTAACTCATTATTTAACCCTATGTTGGTGGCATAATTAATATATATGTCTTGGTTTGTGATTTATACAGCTGTAAAAATACACATTTGGTTCCTTGGCGTGTGGGTAACCACTATTCTTAATCCTCCATATTTATATACAGAAACATACGTTCATGCATGCATGCATACATACATACATACGACATATATATATATATATATGTGCGTGTAAATCATCCGAGTTCGTAAACCAGTCCAAAAGCCACTGAAAGCACATTTTGTGGGATTGATCCAAACCCTTTAACTTCATGGCGTCCACTGAGAATCCAGACCCCGAAACAGGAAAAGCCGAACAAACGCCGGAGATTCCGTCGGATTTAGCGCCGACTCCGGCGACCGCCGCCGGATTCTTGGATTGCCGGCAGATCGACGTCATCACAAGGGTTTTGCTTTTCGCAGCTACTCTGACTTCTCTCATAGTAATGGTGACCAGCGAGCAGACCGAGTTGACTCAGTCCTCGGGGGCTAAGTCTCCCGTCCCTGTCTCCGCCGAGTTCAACGACTCGCCTGCTTTCATGTCGGTTCCTCTCGTCACCACATATATATATACACACACCAAAATGAATAAGCATTTGCTTCAGTGACCCAATAGTATTGAATCGAAATCACGCTGTTCCAAATTTCATGTTTATATTTTTCGTGGGTGCAGATACTTTGTGGTGGCTCTCGTTATAGCTAGTTTCTACAGTCTCGTTTCAACGCTCATCTCAATCTCTGTGCTCTCAAGGCCTGAATTCTCCGCACAGTTCTCCATTTTCTTGTCCTCTTTCGACGTGGTAATATATATATACGTCCCTTGTCTCACGAGTAAACAAGAAGATCTGGAATTCTAACTTTGAAATGGTGAAAATCACTGGCATGATAATGGTGTTCTTATTCGAAATCGTGAACAGGTGATACTGGGAATTCTAGCGTCTGCGACGGGAACAGCAGGAGGAGTTGCGTACGTTGGGTTGAGAGGAAACGACCATTTGGGTTGGAACAAGATCTGCAATGTCTACGACAAGTTCTGTCGTCACATCGCCAGTTCACTTGCCCTCTCCCTCTTTGCTTCCCTGCTTCTTCTCCTTCTCTCTCTCTGCAGCTCTCTTCACAAGAAAAACCCAAACTGAAGATCAAACCTTTGATGCGTTTTAGTTCATATGCTGTCTGTGTTTTCTCTGTCGTGTTTGGTGAATTTTGTCTGATTTGGTCGCTGTCCTGTAAAAAATCTCTGGCGTTGTCTCGTGTGATGAACTTAAGATTGTGAAGTTCAAGTGTCTAGTTGGTGGATGCATACACTTGTTGCTGTTCCTTCGTTGCAATTCTTTGCGGGTTTGGATCATTGGGATCTCTCTCCAGTTTGCAGATTCGAAATGCTCAAATGGATATATAACGAAATCGATTTACTCTCATAAACTGGTTAAACAGTCACGGTAATTGCGGAAATTCCCTGCAAAACATGTCGTTCCTCGAAGAGCTCCTCGAGCGTATCCTTACTGTCTCTAAATCCAGAATCAGTATATACTCTCTACCGCATAATACCCTCTTGATCTTTCCCAAACTCGGCTGTGTCTTCTATCGGGGGAAGGATCTTGGCAAGGAAACCAAGAACGCCGATCAAGAAATCCATAATCTCAACCGGAACACTCAAGAACTTAGACGATGATTTCCCAAGCAGCAAGAACAGAATCTCACCCTGCTCTAATGGTGACAATGCTTCTCCTGGTCCTCCAATGGGTAAAATCCTGATTGATTTAGTTTTCCGCGATGAACGAGGCTAACATCTTGCTCGCTAGTCGGCTTTACACGCACATAACTTCCCATCTCCAAACATCACAAATGGCTTCCCATCCTGGCAGCCTAAGCTCTTGAAGAATACTGTCGGGTCTCACAATGCCGCAAGTGAAGCTCGGGTCTTTTCGCAGCTAAATCCATTAAACTCAGCTTCGAACTTCAGTTTCGCACTTTGAAACTCCAAGGGAGGCTACTGCACACAGATTGCAGAGAGCAAAACAAAATGGGTCGCCCTGAATTTCATTACACCACAAGACTTGTTCCTTGTGGCTTCCTAATCGATCTTCCACGAATCTTTCACCCCTCCGTTTCGACAAGAAACAAAACCCTGGATTCTATACAGATATCTCGAGAATATCCGAATCGGGTCACGTCTGAGAAACAGAAACCGGCACCTTGCAACTGATTCAAAGTCTCTTGCTTGCCCTAACCCCATTTCTCTCTCTGGCAGCACCAATCACATTGAACCATCAACTCTTTCACCACGAATTTGCCTATGTACCCAGTTGAAGCCGCAACAAGCACGTTCAGACCCAACAGTGGGCGACCCAGTGGCGAAGAGTGGGCGACCCAGTGGCGAAGAGGTGACAAAGTCATCCTCGACGTCGTGGGTTCGAATCCACCGGTGGTAAGGAGGCTTCCCAGGGCGCAATTAATTGCGTGTCTAAAGGCTGATTCCGGGTCCAGGGTATTAAGTGGGCCGAAGCCCAACGAACCTCCTCGTTATCAAAAAAAAAAAAAAAAAACAAGCACGTTCAGGGTTTAGGGTTTAATTCCCCTGAAAGAAGCTAATGAAACAACTTCTGAAATACCCGCGTCTAAAGCCTAAATCGGTTCGAATCTCTTTCTTCTAGACCTGAAATTCCCAGAATAATCATGGGTTTGGGGTGTAAGAGGGAAAGGAAGCGAATTTACCTGAAAGTGTTTGATGAATTAGGAAGCTCTGAAGATTTGGGGTTTAGGCGTGAAGGACGTTGAACGAAGAACAAAGGGGCATTCTTTATATAGGATTGGACTTTGGAGGGATGAAGTTTGAATGCTGTTTGGGTGAAGGGAAAATGAGAGAAAATGAAGGAAAATTTCTCACAGGTGGGTAGGCCGAGGGGAAGATAACGTAATTAAATTAAACATCTAAGGATCGTTTTACGATCCAACCATCTCAAATATCTATCATTCAAACGTCTATATTCGACTACAAGATGGGTACCAAAAGACATTCATGGTCATGAATATTATTCGTTCACACATCCACTAGACTGAAATTTATTAGATGCATCGTAAGTTATTCTAAAGGGAAGAGGCAGGGGCGGATCCATGTATAGACCAATGGGGTCCCATGCCCCCTCTAAAATTTTTAATTTGTTTATAATTTTTTAAAATTTTTGATAAATAATATAAGGTGCCCCCATTAACATTTTACCTGTGCCCCCTCTTTCCACTCTTTTGTTTTTTTATTTCTCTTTTTTTTTTTAAATTAAGTTACGTGTTGTCTCTTTTTTATTCTTTATTTTTTATTTTCCAACTGTTTTTTAATCTTTCTCTCTTAATTCTCAAAATTATTATGTATAGATCTAATATTAAAAAACAATCAAATTAAAAATATTTAAGTTTTATTAAAGGAAAATAATATGTTAGTATATCAAATCTATTTCTAATTGATTGTAATCTTGTATAATTGATTCTCTCTTAATTGTATCTCCTTAGTGACCTTAGATATAGCAACCTCTTCATGTATATATTTTGTATTACACAATTGAATAAATGTGAGATCATATTATTTCTTTCATTTATGACTTTTAAGTAATTTTATTTTTTATTTATTCATCAATTTTTATATTTTGATGATACTCACAAATTTATTGTTATATATATCTATATATATATATATATATATTTTATTTGACTTGATAAAAAAATTATAGATAAATTGATTAAGCTAAAAAAATATTAGAGGATCTTATCAATAACATGATAATGACTTTTAAAAAATGATAATAGAAAATAAATTAAAACGATTTGATCTCGACTGGTTTGATTAATACATTAATTGATTTTATTTGTTGACACTATGATGGAAGATGTTTTCCGTTAACAAAATTTGTAAACATAGCTCTAAGCAATCGTATTAGTGATCAATTTTTGAGTGATTGCAGTTTATTTTATTAAAAAATATATATTTTAAACAATTATAAATAAAAGTTATTATGGATATATTTTAAAAAATAAAAAATTATAAAATTTAATGATCAAATATAAATATTTTTTATAATATATTTTTTTAATTAATTTTATTATATATTTATTATAATTATTGCCCCCACTCATAATTTTTTCTGGATCCGCCACTACCACCGAAAAAAAAAAAAATTTTGCGACCTTATTACGACTAATATATAACTAATATACAACCTATTACGACTAACAAACTACTCTTATTTTAGTTGTATATTAGTTATATATTAGTCGTAATAAGGTCGCAAAATTTTTTTTTTTTTCGGTGGTGTACACTGAAATTGCTGCGACCCAAGTGGGTTATTTGAGTAATATTCCCTATCTTGGGGGATAATAACTGGTTTCAAAAGCAAGATCCGACATAAATCTGTTTATTTCATAGCAGCCGCAAACATTTCTACTTTTTCGATTTCACCCCACATATTTCTTATAATTACACATTTAGGATAAAATTATTCGAAATAACATTTGATCCCACTCAATAAACAAATTTTTTTTATAACCAATAGGTTCACTGGATTTTCGACCTACTTAATCCTTGAACATGGAATCAGTCTTTAGTCACGCAATTAATTGCACTATCTCCTCCCTACCAATAGAATCGAACCCAAAATCTTGACGATGACTTTGTCACCGCTCGATAAACAGAGTTTGGTTCATGAACGTGAGAAAAATACCTAATGATCATTGGAGCATTTTTGCTTTTTCGATTTCACCCATATATTTCTTATAATTAAACATTTAGGATGAAATTATTCGAAATAACATTTGATACCACTCGATAAACAGAGTTTTGTTATATAACCAATAGGTTCACTAGGTTTTAGTCATGCAATTAATTGCGCTCTTCCTCCCCATCAGTAGAATCGAAGCTAAGACTTTGACGATGACTTTGTCATCACTCAATAAACAGAGTTTGGTTCATGAATATGGAAAAAAAAAACACCTAACGATCATACTGCATGCATGAGTTTTGTTATCCCAATCAACTTTCTTAGCGAGAGACAATATCTAAATCGTATAACATACTATTTGTAAGTTTCAATCCATGTATATGGTACTCAACGTGTACATTGAAAAAGTCGGATCCTCAAATTGCACTAACATACATATACACATTTCTATATATACACACGCTAAACAAGAAAAGAAACATAAATCAATGACGTCAGAAAGAAAATAGGAATGGTAATAAATTAAGGTAAGGTCCTTATTCACCTGCAATGGCCAACAAACATAGACGAAGATAACAAGGGTTGATACGTAAATATGGACCGACAGATATATAACATTTATAATAATAAAGGATTTTAGGGTTTAGGGATCAGCGGCAGCGGACCATGCGAACGGAGACACGGCGTTCGTGGGAAGAACAGACAGCCAACAGAGACAGAGCCAAAACCAACGCTAACACAAAACCTGTCATCGGGCTCATTCCCCCGTCCTCGCTCGATGTCATGCAACACCCTCCTCCCATGATGATGATGATGACGATGATGATGATGATGATGATGATGATGATGAAGTACAGAAGAAGGGAGACCGATTAGGGAAGAAGATGAAACAAAGACTAGGGTAGATGAGATGGGTATGTCTAATAATGAGTTTGATTTGGTCTTTAATTAATAATATTTTGGTCCTTGTGTGTGGTTGGTCGGTTTGTTTTTTTAAGGGATAGAAATTAAAATATTGCAATTTTGTTCCTTTTTAAATTCACATGATCGTGGCAACTTTGGTTTTATGTCCATTTTTTAAAGTGTACTACTTTAGTTTATTTGATATATTAAAAATCCATTTGATTGTGCAAATTCTCTATATTAGTTAGACTTGGCACATGCACATGCATGTTATCTTCTTCCACAATTATTATAATAGTATACATGATTAATTCCTATCGATTTATATACAATCATTTATTATCTACCATAATATTATTTCACATTTAATTTCTTCTTGGTTCTCAAATCCATAACAACGGTATAATATATATAATTTGAGATATATCTTCTTTATATTTATTGTTCAACCGACCCACAAAAGATTGAAGAAGAAGAAGAAAAAAGCACATTCCATCACACCCGAATCATAGGGCGATTATGATAAACATACATATACAGACAGAGACAGCGTTTGGCGTTCAGCGGCAGCGGACGACGCGGACGGAGACGCGGCGTTCGTTGGAGGAGAAAACGGACATGATAGAGAGAACCACGATCACTATGATCACCCATCCTACGATATCCGAACCGCCGCCATTCTCGCATGATGACATGCAACACATGCTTCCCATCTCTCCTTTTATTTACTTAATTACCTTTTTTTAAAAATAAATAAAATTCCTCTATTTCCACTTCTTCTTCTTCTTCTTCCTCCTTTTATATTCAAGTTCAGTTGGAGAATACCAAGTATAAGGAGGAGGGAGGGCAGATGAGATGGATCTTTCCAAGTTTCTAACATTTTGAGTTGAATCTGTCTTTTTACCATTTGTTTATTGTCTTTGTGTTCGTCTGCTTGGTCCATTTGGTTATTTTTTTAAAGACTATATGTGGAAACTTCTGTTTTTTTTAAATCATTTTGTTATTATAATTACATTTTTTTATTAAAAAAATTTTGTGCGGACATAGTAAAACAACAATTTGATAGTCCGGAGACTTTTTCGATGTGGTCTATACGCATTATATTTTTTATACACGTGTTGTTAAGATAGGCCGACAGGTTAACTTCGATGCCACTTTTTTTTTTTGGTGGTTATAAAAAAAAAGTTACCGCTGTTATAAAACCGTGATATTTTATGATCGTAATAGAATTTTGAGGGAAAGAATTTATCGCTTCTTTTAATTTTTTTTTTTTTTTTGCAATCAATTATGTTTTATTTTCCTATGGAACTTGTGTCTAAAAATGCCAAGTAAATACCATAATTATTAAAAATGATAGAATAATATGTTTCGCACATAATATGTACATATTACGTATATGATACATGCATGCATGCATACATACATACGGTGACACGTAAACAAGACAAAAAAACATGGTGCCAAGTGTCGTATTATTTGTGAAAACGGTGTCGTTTTCGGGTCTCCGCCACTGGAGTCATTGCAGAAATCTCAACGCCACTCTCCTTTTTTTTTTTCTATTGATTTAATATTCAAATAATCTATTCATTAAAATAAAAAAATAATCTAGTCATCGGAATATCTTTTTGATATCAAATTTACCGATTAGATAAAAAAATGTTTTGACGGAAAATATAAAACAAAAAATGATATTTTATAAAATTGGTTTGATTTTGTTAGTTTTATAAAAAAAATATTAATTTGGTTTTTATTTTGGAAATTTTGATTGTGGATCGAATTTCGTAATTATGTTTTTTTTTTGTCTTTTAATACCCTTAAAGGGTTTTTTTAAATCATAGCCTTATTTTTATGGGTATTGACAAGTATTTGATTATATTTTTATTCATTTTTAAAAATTTCTCTATTGGGTTAACATCGTGTAAATATGCATATATATATATATATATATAATATAGAAACACAAAAAGAGATTTTAAAAAAAAAAACTAGAGAAGAAGAGTCCATAATCTTTGAGAGCATGATCTTAAAATTCGATCTACCTTATAAATAAGTTGTTTACAAGAAATAACAATGAGATTCAAGATATATGGAAATTGCATTATTATGCGAATTTAGGCAAATGACAGTAATTAGCAGACTGATATTTATGTAGACATACAATGGTCATCATTACTACTACTACTACAATATTTTAATTTGCTTTTTTTTTTTATATAAATAATTTATAAACATGATATTGTTGAAAATAAAATGAATATTATGATAGTGAAAGCAATAATAATAATAAGAGAGAGAGAATGGAGAGAGAAGTGATGAAATGAGAGTAAACCTTATGAGGTTTTTGTGTAACATTAACAAGGAGGTGTACTACATATTTATAGGAAAAGAGAGGTAACTCCTTCATCATTAAGGAGTTAATCTTATTGGACAATTAGAAGGTCCACATATTTATAATACTCCCCCTTGGACCTCTAATAATTATACATAAGATATTTATAATTTAGACTGCCTCATTAAAAACCTTATCATAGAAAAACCCTGTGGGATAAAAACCATGACGAGGAAAAAAGAGTACAGTCGTACAAAACTCCCCCTTGAATATGAGTTCCTTCATAATCTTTGAAGATGACGCATTCCAATATTCTGGACGTGCTTCCTGAATGTTGAAGTAGGAAGTGCCTTTGTGAACAAATCAGCTACATTGTCACTTGATCGGATATAACGAATATCAACTTCTTTATTCTTTTCGAGCTCTTGAGTATAAGAAAAAAACTTCGGAGGGATATGCTTCGTTCGGTCACTTTTTATGTATCCCTCTTTGGTTTGGGCAACACATGCAGCATTATCTTCAAATAATATTGTTGGATCGATATTAGTGGATAACCCGCAAGTTTCTTGTATATGACGCGTTATAGCTCTAAGCCATACGCATTCTCTACTTGCCTCATGGAGCGCAATGACTTCTGCATGATTTGAAGATGTCGCAACCAATGTTTGTTTTTGAGAACGCCATGATATTGCAGTACCTCCAATTGTGAACACATATCCAGTTTGTGATCGAGCTTTGTGAGGGTCTGACAGATAGCCTGCATCTGCAAAACCAATTAATTCAAGTGAAGAATCTCTTGGATAGAATAATCCCAAATCAATCGTTCCCCGTAAATAACGAAAGATATGTTTGATCCCAGTCCAGTGTCGCCTTGTTGGAGACGAACTGTATCTCGCTAAAAGATTAGTAGCAAATGCTATATCGGGTCGAGTACAATTAGCAAGATACAATAAAGCTCCTATCGCGCTCATATACGGTACTTCAGGACTGAGTACCTCCGCGTTGTTTTCGCAAGGGCGGAATGGATCTTTCTCAATATTTAGGGATCTGCAAACCATCGGAGTACTTAGGGGATTCGATTTGTCCATGTTAAAACGTTTCAGGATTTTCTTGGTATAATTGGACTGATGAACAAATATTCCACTTGGAAGATGTTCTATCTGTAATCCAAGACAAAAATTGGTTTTCCCCAAGTCTTTCATCTCAAACTCTCCTTTCAAATAATTACGAGCGTTTTCAATTTCTTTGGAGGTCCCGATAATATTTAGATCATCCACATATACTGCTATAATCACAAAACCATTATTTGTTTTCTGGATAAATACACAAGGGCAAATAGGACTATTAACATATCCCTTTTTCAACAAACATTCACTTAGTCGATTATACCACATACGACCAGACTGTTTTAACCCATATAAGGATCGTTGTAATTTGATCGCGTATGTTCCATTTGGCTTTGAATTTATTGTTTCTGTTATTCTCATTCCTTCAGGAACTTTCATGTATATCTCATTTTCTAACGATCCATATAAATATGCCGTAACGACATCCATGAGATACATTTCTAGATTTTTGGAAGTTGCTAGACTTATCAAATATCTGAACGTAATCGCGTCCATGACTGGAGAATATGTTTCTTCGTAATCTATTCCAGGTCTTTGAGAGAACCCTTGTGCGACAAGACGAGCTTTATATCTTGTGATTTTATTATTCTCATTTCTCTTTCGCACAAAAACCCATTTGCATCCAACTGGCTTAACGTCATCGGGGGTTATAACAATAGGACCGAATACATTTCTTTTGTTCAAAGAGTCTAATTCTACTTGTATAGCTTCTTTCCATTTTATCCAATCATGTCTCCTTTGACATTCAGATACCGATATTGGTTCTGGATCCTCATTATCATGTTCAATTTCTTTGGATACAGAAAAAGAGAATACTCCATCAGTGTCATCCACCTCAGTTCGGATAAACATTTTTCCATGATGGTTGTAGTTAATAGAAATCTCATTATTTTCTGTATTCTCACGATTATTTTCATCATTTTGATGTTCGATATCTTTTTCCTCATTTGATTCTTTTGGGGAAATCTGAGGGCTATTATCAATTTCACTTTTCTTTCTTTTCCGTGGATTTTTATCTTTAGAGCCGATTGGTCTTCCACGTTTCAATTGTATTGTAGACTCATTAGCAATTCTTTTATCTTTCTGATCCTTTGGTATTTCTATTCGAGCGGGTGTATTTTCAGCTGGAATGTACGATTTTGTCACTCGTGTTGTATCTGTGAACCCATCTGGTAATCGATTCGCTATATTTTGCAAGTGTATGAGTTTTTGCACTTCAATGTCACATTGCTTTGTAGGGGGGTCAAGATATAATAATGATTTTGTTTTCCACATTAAATCTTGTGAGGCTTGTATCATTCCTCCCCCTAACGCTGGGAATTCATCTTCATGAAAATGGCAATCAGCAAAACGAGCTACAAACATGTCACCAGTTTGCGGTTCAATATATCGAATGATCGAGGGTGAGTTATACCCAACATAAATACCCAATCGTCTTTGAGGACCAATTTTTGTACGTTGTGGTGGAGGTATTGGTACATATACCGCACAACCAAATACTCGAAGATGAGATATATTTGGTTCATTTCCAGTGGCTAAGTGTATTGGGGAGTATTTATGATATGCACTTGGTCGAAGTTGGATCAGTGCTGCAGCGTGTAAAACAGCATGTCCCCATATTGTAATTGGAAGTTTTGTTTTCATCATCATTGGTCGAGCAATAAGTTGAACACGTTTAATTAATGATTCAGCCATACCATTTTGTGTATGGATATGGGGAACTGGATGCTCAATCTCAATCCCGAGCGACATACAGTAGTCATTGAAAGCTTGAGAAGTGAATTCGTCGGCGTTATCAAGCCTCACTTTTTTAATTGTATAATCAGGGAATTGAGCTCGTAATTTGGTTATTTGAGCAAGAAACCTCGCAAATGCAACATTGCGGGTTGATAATAGACAAACATATGACCATCTACTTGATGCATCTATCAGGACCATAAAATATCGAAATGGTCCACTAGGTGGATGAATTGGTCCGCATATATCACCATGTATTCGTTCCAAGAATGACGGTAATTCATTTCCAACCTTGGTCGATGATGGTCTTATTATCAATTTTCCTTGGGAGCAAGCGGTACATGTAAACTCATGAGATTGGAAAATCTTTTCATTTTTTAATGGATGACCATTAGAATTTTCTACAATTCTCCGCATCATTATTGAACCAGGATGCCCCAATCGGTCATGCCAAATCTTAAATATATCACCAAATCGTGGGTTCATCGTAGCATATGATTCAATCACATATATCTTTGTGGAATATAATCCGGAAGATAATGCCGATAATTTTTCCATCACATACTTCTTTCCAGAAATTATTAATGTGATACAAAGGTATTCCTGATTATCTTCACACATAGTCTCTATATGATATTTATTTTGACGAATATCTTTAAAACTTAATAAGTTTCTTTGAGACTTTGGAGAGAATAATGCATTATTTATTGCAATCCTTGTACCTCGAGACATCATAAAATTGGCTTTTCCAGAACCCATGATGATTCTC